TAGGCGCGGCGGCCACAAGTGCTGTTCATGTGCGACGCGGAGGGCGCGTACGTGATGCAGGAGGTGTGCACGGAGGGCATGCGCTGCAACACCTGGCCCGGACAGAAGGTAACTTAGAGGGTGGCTAACGAACCCTACAATTCATGTAGATATCACATCACTTATCTCTTTACAATTGAACAACACTATTTAAATGTGAATAGAAAATAATGGGAAAAAAGAAATCTTTTACTTTACGCTTCTATATACGAGTTAATGAATAACTATTCCGCAAACAAAATTTTTTAATTAATGAAACTACAGTGGTTTGCCGGAAATAATGCAATAATTGTAACAGTTTTAAAATAAAGAGTAATAAAAGAAAAGTGTTTTAGTTACCAATGTGCTGTTTAACTTCTAGATCGCTTATGGCTATAATGGCAATTAAATGTTTAAAAAAAAGTATTAAAACGTTGTATTTCGTTGTTCAGAAAGGAGTGCTAGCGGTGGGCACGTGTGAGTACGGATGCGCCAGCGACGACATGAGCTGGCTGACGGAGCCCTTCCTCACCACCACCACTACAACCACGCTCAGCCCCATGTACAACAGCGTCGCCAATGCCACCGTAAGTTAATACTACTCCATGTAAAAACAGGTTTTTGTAGGACTAGAATTAAGACTTCGAATCAGTGTACCTATATTCAGCGGGTCGCGACTATATTAAACTTTTATACTTTTCCTCTGTGTGTTTGTGACATCATGCACGCCATTAGGTAATAGATGTTGGATCGTGATCTCTGCCTCAATTATTTATTATTTCGGTTAAAGTAGGTAAACAATCTTTACCCCTAACTAGCTAGCTCGTTCCTTGAACTATTTTACTTCTCAATATTCAGTGGAAATTGAATTAGTTAAGTCAATTTTAACTCGGACATCCAGTTGTTAAGCATCCTGTTTGTATTTCAAACATAACATAGTTTTTCGTTGAGTACGTTGGAACGGAAAACGTAATGAATGCAACGCGTTTGTTTGCGGCTGCAACTCGCGGCGAGCGAGCGATTGTAGAGAATGCTTTCACCGATAAGCAACTGGAGCGAACACATTTCTGCAACTAGTAAATAACGGTACTTATTTGCAATGCGTTGTATGAATGGATTTTTAGTACAACTTATTCGTATTGTAAATGCGAACGTTTAGATGGATGGATATTTGTAGCCTAATCGGCTGAACGGATCTGGATGAAATTTGGCATAGATGTCGAGGATAGTCTGGAAAAACACATTGGCTACTTAGTTTTTTAATACCACGAAAGCTAGTAATATTATAAATACGAAAGTTTGGATGAATGGATGTTTTTATAGTTTGTAACGGTCTAATGAAAATTGTACAGATGTAGTGTAGAGGGTAGTCTGAAAGAACACACATATGTGGGCTACTACTAGTTTTTATTCAATTCCGGGCAGATGGATTTTCGGTCAAAAGATTTAATAAGTTTATTTCTACTTGATATAGTGGTCTAGTTTTATTTGATTATCAACGAAACTCAAAGAGTTACTTCACTCAGCCATCATCAGAGCTGGTGACAGAGGATGGTGACGAGGGTCCGGAGTTCGAGCGCAATCCGCCACATCTGTGCACGGACGGCCACT